CCAACTGCAGATTTATACACTTTATCCACTTTGTGTGTGCGTGTCCCTCGCAGGAATGTTCAGCATGTGGTCGTTTGCTATTTGTTAGAATAGCTGCTGAGGCTGTCCTGGGCTCCGACTGCTACTTTTCTCTCCAAAATAAAATTAAAACGGAAAAACACATTCTTTCTACAAAGGAAAACATGATCAAATGGAGAAGCAGATCACAGCTCCATCTTTAGATGACAGTCCCTTGCCTTGCGGAGGAGAATGCTTCAGTCTATTTATGTTCAAACCATAACGGTGCCTGTTCGAGCCCCATTTTGAATTCTGACTGATGTGTGTGTTATCTTGCCTCTTTTACTCTGGGCAAAATCTCTGCAGTTTAATTGCAGCCTTAAAGTTCAGACAAATATTTACAGCCTCTGCTTTCCTTTTAAGATGAATGACTACTTCAAAACACTCTCCTTGCTGTGTTTCCCACTCCTTGAGTGGGTTTGTGCTTTTTAAACCCGCCTGAGCAGCTTGAGAAATGAAGTGGGAGTCACAGCCAGGACAATTTGTTCTCTACTTTATTTACAGGAGCCAAGCAATAAGCGGGTCCGGCCGTTATCGCGGGTCACATCCCTGGCAAACTTGATCTCTCCTGTAAGAAATGGGGCGGTTCGGCGCTTCGGGCAGACAATACAGGTAAAAAAGCAAAGCCTTCCAGTCCTGGAAGCCTCGAGATACGGGGAAGGTACAGGCTGTATGGGGTGAAACAGGCACTGGGACTTCAAGGTATCTCTTGTGTGATTCATGCAAGGACAGCAAGCTTGCCTGGGACTTTGGGATGAAGAAGAGTTCAGGGGCAGCTTGCTGGATAACCAGGTTATTGGGGCTCTAAGGAATAAAAAAAAAAACAAATAAACAAATAAACAAACTGATTCAGATAGGGAGAATTGGTTGATAAACTGTTCCAGTACTTGAGATACGTGTGTCGGAGCACGTGCTTAAATGTGAGCTGACCCTGCTGTTCAGCGATCTTTCAGTAACGTTAGAGAAGTTCAAGGGGCTCCTGATTAGCCCCGTTCGAGGGAGCGTTATGACCCTCCTTTATTGACTTCCTCGGGCCTTGGAACTAGACCCGAGCTTTACCTTCCCATCCTCCTCCCAAGCGCTGCTGCTGGATCAGCGCAGGGAGAGGCACGTGGAAAAGCTCGCCGGGCTCAGCAGCTCGATGCAAGTGTTCCTTTATCTGAGGAAAAGTGTCTGGGTGTGGTTTCCTGCCCTGTACAACAGAGGAGGACGAAGGATTGGGAGGGGTATGGATAATGCTATAATACTTCTGAAATGTTGGCTCTACATATTTATTTTTATTTTTTGTTCTTTTTTTAATCCCTGTAGTCATTTGCCCTTCGCAGTGACAGCAAGTCTCCTGGCTGTGCCCAGAAGTCATGTAGCAGATCTGCTGCTCCTACTCCTCCTAAAAGAAGAAACAGCGTGCTTTGGTCTGAGATGTTGGATGTCAACATGAAAGAGTCCCTGAGCACCAAAGAAATTAAGCGCCAGGAGGTAGGCTGGCTGTTAAACTGCAGCACTGAGAGAGGCGGCCGAGGCCTTGGCTGGTGCCCTTGCCTTGGCGGGGGAGTGAGTTCACGAGCCTCTGTGGGTGACTTTTATCTTCCTGTGCACCTTCATTTCTAAACCGCTAGATTTATTTCTGCGTTAGGCCTGGGAAAAGGTAGGCTGCTCTCTCTTGAGTCACTAGGGAGTTCGTCTCCCCAGGTTGACCCTTCAGAGATGCCAAACACTTTTCTTTCCGTGGGGGTGCTCAGCATTTCTGAAATTCGAGACCCAGCCATGCTGGTTGCTTTGCAGCAGACCCAAAGTCGGGTTCCTTGTAAAGCCAGCTGTCTTTCTCTGAAAGCTCTTGACAATTGGTTGAAAGCCAAATAGCAAGGCCTTGGCTTGCCTTTTTCCTGTAGTTCTGAGACAAATCTTCTGGTGACAACACAGAAGCTGACTAAAGATGCCTGGGATTTGACCTCTGTGGTTTTCTGGGGTTTGTTTTTTTGGTTCTTGCTTGTGTAAAAGCCGTGATTTAAAAGGCTCTAATATTTAATTTGGCTTGTGCGGGAGCGTCGGAGCTTTCACACAGTCGTGAGCGATGTTGCTTCCTTGGAGCTGGGAAAGCCAGCGGATTTACTTGAGGTTGTCGTGCCCAGGTGGCATACGGTGATTCAGATGGCAGCAACAGAGGCAGGAGGTACATTGTGCGAGCTGAAAGGCTCTTTCAGAGGAAGACTGGGATTAAAAACGACCCTCGATGCTTTATCCTCTTCCTCGCAGGCAATATACGAAATGTCCAGGGGAGAGCAGGACCTCATCGAAGACCTGAAGCTTGCCAGAAAGGTGAGTCGTTCTTTTCCTGCATTCAGTAACCGTATTCGAGATAATAACGGAGTTTCTTTGCGCCTGCCAACGTGACGTGTCGGCTTTATCAGTCTGAAAGCTGGTTTGATTGCCACAAACCCAGCCCAAAAAAGGACTGTGCTTTGCAGTCCTGCGGAGCTAGTTGGGGAAGTCCCTCTCCC